GCATTAACGCGCTAATTTTGACAGCACTTATACACACACACACACACACACACACACACACGTAGTACAATGACAATTTATAACCAGTTTAATTTTGCTAAAAATATCTTGCCTTACTCACACAGTATAAATGGGCCTGTGTACTTTAAGAGGGCAGCCCCATGCAAGGGAATCAAAATAATTGGTACTTGAAATGAAGAAAGTTTGAAAATCTCTGCTTTAGTGCACAACTCTCTCTCTCTCATATTCCCAGGCCACTGCAACCTTCAAAACACTTGCATACTAATCAAACACACTTAATGCTCTACAGTACCGACAAAAGTCTTTCAGTGTAGGCTACCCCAAAACACATGTTGGTTTGAATATTGGTGAGAACTTCTCATAATATGGAGGTGAAGATATTTGCTAAACCTAAACACTAACCCTAAAGTCTAACCCTCACTCAGACCTAAAGATGTTTGCCTTTCCAAGTGAGGAAAATCTAAAAAAATCCCAAGTTTTTTTTTTCTTCAGGTTTCTATCATTCATAAATAAATAAACAAACCCACCCTCACAGGTATAGCAAAACCTGCACACACACACACACACACATCTTGTAATATTGATTACTGAGCTAATAATATTTTTGTCCTTACTCTCACATACACATTTCTCTGCATTTTTACATCTTAATGAAGAAATGTTTGTGCGTTTATAAGCGATTTTCCTAGAATGCACAATTTCCTAGTCTCCCTAGTGTAGGTGGTTTCAGGTTTAACTATTCTCGAGAGGACGTAGACAACACCTGACCCACACACTGCATCCTTCCGTGCGAGTATCTGAGTCTGTTCGATCGCGGCAGACCTTCGCAGGCATCGCCAGCATTTTTTCCTATGGTACTCCTCCCATCTTGTCGCCTTTGTTTCCAAACAGATGAAATGAAATGTTAAATGAGAGCGAGCAACTCAGCGCGTGACTTTTCAAGAAGTGTCTTTCTGCTCGCGCACGCCTTGATGTGCATATGAAAGAATGCGCGAGAAATATCACAGATGAAAGACGAGGATATATTACAATCTGTTTTATGGTGTCAAAAGAGTAGTTTTCTTTCTTTTTCTTTTGACGTGATCATTTCTGTATGTTTATTGAATAACCGACTCTTACCTCTCCAGAGGGTTCACGACATTTCTGTGTGAGCTTACACCATCTGTGATAACATAACTAACATGGCCTTAAACACACCCCAGATTTAAAGTTATCATATATTTTTGTGTATAAAATAATACACAATTTTAGCGACGAAGGGACTTTTACTGCAAATTTCAGTGAAGACATTAAAACGTGATTCCAAACAATGTCGAGTCACTTCAAAAAGCCAAAATGGTCTAAGAGAAGTTATCTGCTGCTATACAAAACTCATCAGATAATACATAACAGACACAATGAATGTTAATTCATTAATACTTAACAAATAAACGACACTGCAATTTTCGTATTGGCTGCTTACAAACTGCCTTTTAACTGCTTTTTAATTCAGTGAGCAGCCTGACTGGATTTCTTCAAATATCTCAGGTTTGTACGTGATTCGATGAGGTTTAATACAAAGACATATTGTTTAACAATCGTATTTGACAGAATAAATAAATTAACTTACAGTTACTCGCCGATAAAACTGAAGTTAACGCGCTTAACGTCGTGAGGAGAAGAATTCCGATGCCGTTGTGGAATCTCATATTTGGAAAAGTACTCTGCTCCACAATTCTGAGGTACCTCCGACCGTTAAAACAGTTAGGGGAAAAGGGTTAAGTCTCGTGAAGGTAGCGCTTTGACTCCCGCCACAATGAGGTGTTGCCACGAATGAGCGTGCGCCTCCCGTCGTTTCCTCAGATCCCTCTGAAGGACTGATCCAAACACTTGCACGCGCTCTCTGTTTGATGCTCTCTCTCTCGCGCTATCCTCACTCCCTCTCTCTCTCTCTGGGTCTGTGCTGATCTCAGTCACTCGCTCTTTGGATACTATGTGCTTGAGGATACAAGTGGCGCGCTCTCGATATCGTCTAGCTGAGCGTTTTTTCTTTTCTTTTTTTTTTCTTTTCTTTTCTTTTTCCCTTGTTAGGTCAGACAACCTAAATCAGATTTCCAAACCAACCCTCTACGGACACCTTGGCAATTGAATAATTGGCTAGTACATTTTTTAGTTTACTCGCCAGACTGAGATATATATATATATTAAATTCAATTTATGCATTTAGCAGACGCTTTTATCCAAAGCGACTTATAGTGCATTCAGGCTATTAATTTTTTTTTATCAGTATGTGTGTTCCCTGAATATATATATCATGTTTGTAAAATGGCACAGTTTTTTAAATATCTGAAAGTACACTCTTAACATCAGTCAGTCAAGCATTATAATATGATAATCAATATTATTTAATGATAGAACTAGTAATCAGAATTAAAACTTAATAACCATGTATGAATGCATATTAGTCATTTTAACTGAACTTTGGACTGGTGGTGGTGTTTCTGTAAAAAAAAATTGGGAAAAAATAACAAAAATACTGATAAGATAATAATGATACAAATTCTACTAATAAGAACAATATAAAACGCACTAAGGATTAATGAGCTGCTGGATTCATGAATATGAATCAGGTTGTGTGCGTTTTCTCGAACTGATTTGCTGAAATCAAAACAGGGACGATAATAGGTGAGGGTCAGCCAATGAGATTTCCGTTTGCACATTAGTTACGCCCACTACCGGAAAAAGCTGCAGTTCTTAAAAGCTGAGGAATTCCACAGGAAAGCTGTTATTTTGACAGGAAAATACAACAAAGAATATCGTTTACATGTAGCGCGTCAATTCTCTCTCTCTCTTTCTGTAAAAAAAAATTGGGAAAAAATAACAAAAATACTGATAAGATAATAATGATACAAATTCTACTAATAAGAACAATATAAAACGCACTAAGGATTAATGAGCTGCTGGATTCATGAATATGAATCAGGTTGTGTGCGTTTTCTCGAACTGATTTGCTGAAATCAAAACAGGGACGATAATAGGTGAGGGTCAGCCAATGAGATTTCCGTTTGCACATTAGTTACGCCCACTACCGGAAAAAGCTGCAGTTCTTAAAAGCTGAGGAATTCCACAGGAAAGCTGTTATTTTGACAGGAAAATACAACAAAGAATATCGTTTACATGTAGCGCGTCAATTCTCTCTCTCTCTCTCTGCGCGTGTGAGACAAAGCGACGGCGATTAGTGGGCCTTCACACTAGAGTTTACGGTATGTTAAATACAGGTGCGTTGCACATCCATTCAGATGAACAGAAAAACAGCACAGATCGCTTGGCGGAGAGTGAAACTCTGAAGCGCTCAGTCAGAGAGTGTTCGGCGAGTGAAATTATATCTGAGCTAAACTTATACTTAGCCTCCAACTCACACACTGGCGAGTAAAATCTGATAATTTATTAGCCATTGGCTAATATTAGACATCATTTAGTCGCCCAGAGTGAAGATTTACTCGCATATGCGAGTGATTTACTCGCAATGTAGAGGGTTGCAAAAAGCTTTAAATAAGGGTTCTATGTGCATGAGAGGATACAAGTGGCACGCTCTGGATTTCAGGACCACGGAGAGCTCCACACACGATATATTTTGTCTTCTTCTTTAGGATAGTTAACCTAAATCAAGAGTTTTTCAAACCAAGGAGCCTCGAGAGGGCTAAAGGAAGTTTGTGGAAAAGTTTAGAGAAAAAACAAAAATAATTAAAATGTACTGAAATAGACGTTTTAACAAGAATAACATGCCTAATGTAGATTTAGGTAACGTGCCTCTTAATAAAACCCATATAAAAGCATTATCTTCTTTCACTGTGTCCAAATGCGTGTAGTTCCCCACTAAATAAATTGCAAAAATAAGAACTTCAATGTACTTGTCACAGTACACAGGCAGAGACACGAGGTAAGTGATCTAAGCAGGTGGGTTTATTGACAACGACTGAAGAGCAAGGTGAGCAGAAGGCAGGTGAGTCAATGGCAGTATGACAGTTCTTGCATGCTTAGCTGAAAGTAAGTCTCTTTGTCTTTGTTGCAGGTATCCTGGTGGAGATCGGGAACGAAGGAGATCGGGATCGTAGGAACACGGGAAACTCTAGAGACTCCCTGACATTACCTCCCCGTCCCGGAAGGCGTGTCCCACGGCGTAAAAAGGGGGGATGGGCGCCCTGGAGGCTGGTGCAGGACTGGGATACGGGGAATACCTCCAGGGCGGATCAGGGAGCTCAGGGGCCATGGCGGGACAGTGAGCTCGGGCGGCCATGGCGGATCAGGATATTCGGGAGGCCATGGCAGATCCGGAGACTCGGGAGGCCATGGCAGCTCTTCCTCCGAGGCCGCGGCCCCAACCCCCGCCTCTACGACCGGAGCCCTACTACCCCCCCCAAAAAAAATCCTTGGGGGAACTTACGGGGCTGAACTCGGGGACTGGAGCCCTCCCTGGGCTTAACGGGGGATCAGGAGCCCTCCACGGGCTTGACTTTGGAGTGGCCGGCGGGCTTGACACAGGAACGGACGATGGGCTTGCCACAGGAATGGCCGGCAGGCTTGAGAGAGCCACAGCCGGCGGGCTTGATTTCGGAGTGGCCGGCGGGCTTGAGTCATGAACGGTCGGCTGACTTGACTTTGAAGCAGCCGGCAATCTTGTCTTGGAGGCGGCCAGCCTTTCTGGTCTGAGGATGATTGTGGAGCTTCGGATGTGCTCGGGGGTGCTGTGGGTTGCGCAGGTGGTCGGAACTTTTGGCGTGGTATGTGGGGGTTTGGCGCGGGAGGCGAGCTGGGGAGACTCGGCGTGTTCCAGAGGGGGCTGGACGATGAGACTTAGACCGTGCCCTTATTTCTTCGACTTCAAAAGTCGGAACAATTTAAATAAAGGACGAGGTTAATCAGCTCGATTAGGGGGAAATCACTCACAGGAAGATCGCAGCGGATAGTCTCGTCGTCGAGCCCCAGCTGAAAACACGCACCTAGAGCGGCGTCGTGACAGCTCACCTGGTTGGCAAGCTCGAGGAATTCCTCCACATATCGCTTCAACTTCCGACCGTCCTGCCGCAAACGCCACAGCCGGTCCTCAGCAGCAATCATGTTATGGTCCGATCTTCTGTCACAGTACACAGGCAGAGACACGAGGTAAGTGTTCTAAGCAGGTGGGTTTATTGACAATGACTGAAGAGCAAGGTGAGCAGAAGGCAGGTGAGTCTATGGCAGTATGACAGTTCTTGCATACTTAGCTGAAAGTAAGCCTCTTTGTCTTTGTTGCAGGTATCCTGGTGGAGATCGGGAACGAAGGAGATCGGGATCGTAGGAACACAGGAAACTCTGGAGGTAAATAACACACCGTGAGTATACAGGTAAGTAAGGTCTTAAAGGCAATGAACGGTAGATCGAACGATGAGTGACTGTGAGGAGCGTGTTCTTGAAGGTGTGCTGATTGCTGGCTGCAGGTGCGGGTGATCAGTAACAAGGTGATTGTGATCAGGTGAGCGTCGTGACTGGTGACTGGTGACAGAGACTCCCTGACAGTACTAGGATGTCCAAAAATGCATACTTGATCAAATATCGATACCTGTATGACATGCTGTAGTGCAGGGTCCTCCAACCCTGCTCCTGGAGAGCTACAGTCCTGCAGATTTCAATTTAGAATTCAATTTAGATTTCAGTTAGTTTTACTGAACGTGAGTGATACGTTGTGGTATTTTGAAGCCATGACAACATTTTGTTAAGATAACGGCAAGCTTATGTTGTGGCCTTGAGCCTTATCTCGTGCATGGCTGCATTTTTTTTAAACAAAAAACATTAAAATTCAGTTAGGCTATGATTAATACAACTGTCTATGCGATTTATATTATTTATGGCTTGTGTCTAAGAAGATCATTCTCATTTATTGGTGGATTTTCCTTCTGTTTGCTGAGATCAGTTTGTTTAACCGAAGCTGGATCACATCCACAAGGATGTCAGGCAAGTCAAAACATTTTCATAGTGGCAAAGACCCTTGTGACAATTATTAATGACTGGTACATATTATTGTCTCCTGATATTTAAAGGGCAACCAATCATAAAACCTATTTGTCAGAATTTTATCGAACTCATCCTAAATGAACTGGTTTAAATCATCTATATGCCATCACAATAATAAATGTGTAAAATATATTACAATAGAAAGCAATTTTTTGAATTGTACTAATATCTCACAATATTTTACTGTATTTTTGATCAAATAAATGCAACCTTGGTGAGCATAAGATATTTTTCCCCAAAAACAATAAAACATGCAGTTATAAACGTTTGACTTGTAATCCAAAGTTCATATATCTATAATACAAGTCTTTTTTATGGTTCAGATCATGATGGTCTACTTTGTTTGGCTGGTGTTGAGCAGGTGCTAACAGATCTTTGTGGTGATACTGAGAGTTCCTTCATGTCAGAGAGTGAATTGAAATCACCATGACATATTGGTACGCCAAGGGAGTACTCTTTGTGTGTGTGTGTGTGTTATGAGAAAACATGAGCTTCAGACTGAGTAAATATCTGAAGGACATGTTTGTTTGATCCTTTCCAGAGTAAATAGCGGCAAGGATGTGAACACGACTTTCTAATACACTGTCTCTGTCTTTCTTTTTCTCACGCATGCTGTCTGCGTGTCTCATTAAAACAGGTCTGACCTACTGAACTCCCACTGTGGAGCTTGAGTAGAGGGCGATTTGGCTGTGTGGGAGAAATGCCATGAGACATCCACTCCATGCTGGAGTTCAATTCACATCAATATTGCAGAAACAGAAGTGAGGAAATGAAGTAGATAAAATCTGATGACACATGAAAGGCCCGTTTCATGTCTTTATTATATGTCTATCTTTTGTTTACATTGCTTTTTAAACTGACCACTTTTCACCAGTTGGATATAGTTACACCCACAGACCACTCGTTTTCACTAACCATCTGACACATATTGCATACATAAACTGCTCATAGTCTGATAACATCAGTACTGATTTTTGAGCGTAAACTGAAGATTCAAGATTAGATGTACAGATGAAGGACACAGTAGGATCTGCTAATGAAGAAGTTTGGTTTTGCCTAATATTATCTTTAATATTGCCTAATAATATCTTTAGAAGAGTGTATGAATAAATAAGCATTGAATTACAATGATTGAGTCTATAAATATGCTACTGTCTGACCTTTCAATCCATATGCACTCTTGATAAAACTTGTGTATTGTGTCTAATCAAAAGTGAATATCCTACAATTCAAAGAAGAAAGCAGAGAGGAGATCAAAGGCACATCAGATCAAAGAGATGCATTTAAGATGTCACACAGTTGATGGCAGCACTTCTGACTTGAATGGAGGAACAAAAAGAATTACGCATTCTGTAAATAAGCCACGAGGACGTTATACATTTTAGATAAATATTAGAACTGGGTGGAACAATACTTGAGAATAATTTAGCTAAAAAAGTGCAATTATATATCTGGTTATGAAACTGTGTGAGTATTATCAAAATGTATGAGTAATGTCATGCAGCAAAATTGTGTTTACAATGATTGCTATTGTGTATTTGAACCACCATATTCACCCTCACAATCATTATCTACCACAGGTTAACAGCTGGTGTGGAGACAGAATTCATTTAACTTTGCATAACCTCTACCTGCAACGGGTCTTCAGTTTCCTATAAGGTAAAGTAAGTGTGAACTTCTCAAGGCTCTGCAGAATGAACTGAAGGGCACCGGGCAAGACAAGCCTCCCGAGGGACTCCGGGGTAATTCAGAGTAAATGAAGAGAAATGAAGCGTACCCTTTAAGCTGCAAACAATCTCTCCTCTCCTTTATTTTTTAGCATAATCTGCCTTCTCATCTCCACTGCCCTTCACTCAATGGCGGACATGGAAATCATTTCCACTGATGAGGAAAAGCAAGAACTCTGCCACCCTCCACCTCTCCGGTTAATTTTCAGAAGGCTTGATGTGATAAGGCAAGTGATGATTTACACAATCTCTGATCTATCGTCTTATTCATGTGTACTATTACTATTATTTGACTATTTCAAATAAATGCTGGTATTTTGAACTTTAAAAGAATCCTGAAAATATATAAATATTAGAGAAATATTAAGCAGCACAATGTTCAGCATTGATAAGAAATGTTTCTTAAGCACCGAATCAGCATACTAGAATGATTTCTGATGGATCATGTGACACTAAATACTGGAGTAATGATGCTGAAAACTCATCTTTGCAATCACAGGAATAATTTAAATTTTAAAATATTAACATAGAAAACAGCTCTTTTAAATAAAAACTTCTGAACTCTAGCTTATACAGTATCTATGCATTGTATTTCAGTATTTCTTGTAATGTAGAAATAAACACTTTACAGTCAAGGTTGGAGTTTAATTAATTGAACGAATCAACCAATTTTAAGTGGAATTGTGATGTTTTAGTGTTTAGCTAATCGTTTACTCCAACCATACCTTTTAAAACACTGAGACACACAATAAGTGTAAAGGACTGCAATATTGCTACAGCATTTAAGTACTTGCATAACACAGTTAGAAGTTAAGGAGAAAGTATAGTATATTGAATAAAGTGCAAAAATATATTTTTAGATACGGTAGGGTGATGAAAGTACACTGTAAAATCCAATAGTTTACCTTACTTAGATTTAGTTAGTTATCTTTACTTAGTTGTTATACTTACTAGGTTTTATTAAGTTACAGCTACTTTCGAGGCAAATAAAACAATTTACTTACTGTTTTGAGTGACACTTACTTAACTTGGTTTATGTTACTATAATTTACTTCCTGTTAATGCAGTAATGCATTATAAAGTCAGAGTTATTTGATTTTAAAAGAAGAAAAGTAATAAAAAGGTTGCTTATAGAACGTGACCTATCTTCTAATTAAAGCATTAGTGTATTTTTAGTGTGTGATTATTAATGAACTTTATCAAATTTCTTTTTTCATAAATACCTTGAGATGCTTTTATTTGGGTTTATATAATCCTTAAATATCGTGTGTG